GAGAAGAGGGAAAAAGAACTGAGAAATTATGGATCCAAGGACCAATTAATAGTATTAGACTCAACAAAACAGAGTAAACAAATCATTAGGCAAAAGGATCAACCACCGACAAAATTAAACAAGCAAAAGAATATTCAGGAATCAATGTAAACTATAAACTCCAACATCCAAAAGCAATTCAAAGCAAAAGTAGAGCATTTTTGTGAAACATTCCAAAAGTGGAATAGCGAAAAAGCAAAGTCTTGAACACAAGTGAGGACACTGAGAAAAGAAAGGAAAAGAATCGAAAGGGGAATAAATAAACGATCAAAGATACCTTCATCTTGCAGGCAGGATGAGAACTCAAAGAATGGAATCGGAAGAAAAAGCTATAGAGATAGAAGGATAGAAATGGTGAAAGAGTAGTGCTTAGAAAGAGACAGAAACTGAATATATGCTATCTATCTAGCTCAAAAGAGATGGTGAGAGAGGTTTTGACGGTAGAAACAAACCCATAAAAAGGAAAAGATTTCCGAATCAGAACAAAAAATGCAGAATAAGAGAGAGAAACTAAAAGGGGGTTATGGGCAATGGTGGTATTATACTTGGAGCTACAGAGAGAGTAAAAAGAAAAAGATGATACTATAACAGTAGCGTATTGTAGACAAAGGTAGGTAGGGGGAGGGGTTTTGGTGGGGGGGGGGGGGGGAGGGTGCATGAAACATTTGTTAAATTTATTCTGAAATGTTTGGATCCAAGTGGACTCTCTGCATGCTTGCTGATATTGCCTCGTGCCTCTTGGCTATGCAATTAGGTTCAGGCGTTCAGCAGTTCAATTAGAGTAATATTTTAAGAGCCATCGTTTTTCGGTTTTTGGTACAACCAAAATTTGATTTTTTTTTTAATATTTGTTAAAGAATATATATCAAAACATCATTTTTTATATTTTTTATGCTTGGTTAATGAGTCAAAATAAATGTTAACTTTGTCAAAAATTTGATACTAATAATGTTAAGAAATGAAATAATGTTTTGATATTTTTGAGTATTAAAAGTATATTCATGAAGTAGTTATACAAATTAGAAATTGAAATAGTATTACTTATATGATCCTGATGTTTGGTTGAACTTAATATTTGTTCCATAATCCAAATATGCATTTTCCCTAGGTAGAATGTGTACCAAAGTCAAAACATCTATGTTAAATTAGATTTTGGTATTAAACTTTTAAGTTTATTTTAGCTAAAATTACATATGGTAAAAAAAACTGCATAAAGATACTGTGTTTGAACTTAAAGGATTAAATTTTTTTTTTTTATTAGCTAAAAATATACACATTGAATAAAACTGCATAAAAGATAATATGCGCCAGATATTTTGACAGTTAAAACATATTTAAATCTTTTTTTAAAAAATCTAATCAAAAGTAAATTAAATAATATTTTAAGCAATAACGATACTATTGTCTTTTGTGGTCTATTATAGCAGTCTTTTGAGTGGTCTCTAGATCAAAGTCCAAAACACAACCTCATATAAAAAACAACAGTTTTTTTTTTTAAGTTGTAGCTGCAACAAAGATAATGTTAGGGGAAAAAAAGGTCACTGCACTACCAACTGTTATTGTTGTTCGCCCTCTTCGTATTCATTTGAAAGAAAATAAAAATAAGTTGGCTTTAGAATTGTTTTGAGTTGGTGAGGTACTCTCACATCTAGTAGATCGAAAATTTGTGTTACGTAGAGAGTAAGTGAAAATTACATAATTCACCCTGATACTAATCCAATTTTGTTGTATCAATTGACAGTGTCATCTGCTATTGGGACAGAGTTAGAGTGTCGGGAGCGGGTTTGATCGAACCCAATAGTTTTGCTTCAAACTTTGTATTTGTCTAAAAGTTTTATTAAATATGTATAAATTATTAATTTAGAATTCAGTAACTCGAATGATCTCGAACTCATAAGTTTAAAGTCCTGGCTCGGCATGTCTTTGCTATAGGTTAATTTTTTAAATCAGTTGGGAGGGGGGGGGGGGGGGGAAAAAGTTAGGGAAAAATGCAGTGGTTTCCAACAATCTAAAGATAAGGCGGTATGCAAATAACTAAGGCTGTAAAAATAAAGAGTCAAAGGGGCTCCATCTTTCTCATCCTTGGCTGCTAAATTCCTACTGGTCATTCTGGGGTGAACATGGACCGGGTTGGTTCGGTTTGTATCAAAACCAAACCAAACCAACTATATCGGTTTGGATTGGTTCGGTTTTGTCGGGTTTTCGGGTTTTTTTGTTACATTAATATTATTTCATCTTACTTTGTTAAAATTATAGATAAAGCTTTGATAAGTGAATATATGTTTAGTAAATATTGAAAAATTTGACAAACATATGATCTATTAAAATATTCTAATGGGAGAATTTTTTTAGTAACACATGATAGTTATTTTCTTAGTCGTCTAACAATAGTTGTTCGTTAACGTACATTTTCAAGGTTAAAACATGAGAGGATCCCAAATATTTCTACATTTTCTAAAGAAAATTTAATATAAGATCTTAAAAATATAAATAAAATTTATATATTTATATGTCGGTTTGGTTCGGGTTTTTTTTACTCAATACCAAACCAAGTCAAACCAAACCTAGTCGGGTTTTTTAATCGGTTTGGTTTGATTTTTCGGTTTGGTACGGTTTTCCAATTCGGTTTGGACACCCCTACCGGTCATAAAAGACAAGCGCCTGAACAATAAAGTCTTAAACTACAGCTCTTAAGTTGAATTGGAAGGGGAAAAAAGAGAATTTAAAAGTTGAATTGTATTTGACATGAATATTAATATATTAAGAAAAGTTTAAGAAGTTTGAGAATAAAAAAAATTATTTTACTTGAAAACTTCCGAACAAGTTTTTTAATATTTATCACTATTTCATATATTGAAGTTTAGTAGGGAATTTACCACCTGGTATTCAATTTGATCTCGGACTCGTACCAAAATGTACCTACTTGAAGCAGGGGCGGAGCTAGAGTATTGAGAAGGGTTTCGGTTGAACCCAGTAACTTTGATTCGAACCTTGTTTTTGTTTTATAAATTCATTGGATATGTATAAATTATTAATTTAGAACCCAGTACTTAAATTGATTAGAATCTCGAACTCATAAATTTAAATGCTAGCTCCGCCTCTAACTTGAAGTACGCCTAACGTTCCTTAAATTTGCGACTATTTATCGAAGCATTTTCCCACATACAAAATTCCGAACTAGAAATATAACAAACAATTTTTTATTTTAAAGTATATGGTATAGATAAAACTTGAATCGGTATAAGATAATGATAAGTGTACTCTCCTAACACCATCCAATTAAAGAATAGAATTTCAGCCTCATCAATGTTACTCCTTCCTTCACTTTACAACTTTCACTTTTAAAGGTATATATAATTCGTTCGAAAGACAACATTTTCTTCCGATAAAATAAAAATCATTGAGCATGCATGATATTAAAAAAACAGCTGAATAAAATGTGCCAATGAGGAGTGATAATTAAATATGATAAAACCCAATCCCATCTGTCATATGTTTCATTCACATAAGATTTTCATGTTCATATATAATTAGAGTTTTGAAGTTAGGGTTTTATTTCATTGTAGGACTTGGGATAGAACCTATAACCGGCCTATATATTCATATATGGGGCACATATGTTCTACTCGCTATATATTAGCTTTAAAGTTGAATTGTATGGTAGGAAATTGATGTTGGTCCATATGTCATGAGAATCACGAATCAACATCACTTGGTTAGCCCTTAAGTATTACAATCTCCTAATTAATGATGTATTATTCAATCCCACCGATTAATCTGTCACATCTTTTTAGACATCTCCAATTTTTTGCATTGCTTTTCACATAATATCTGTTTCATCTCGTAAAATTTATATATTGCGACTTTTCCAAAAATGTTTAAATGTTTTTCATCATAAAACTAATATAATTTTTTAAACGTATATTTTAACATGAAAACTTTGATTTAAAAAATTAAGAAAATTTATCTCCTGATTGTAAGAAAACTAGCTAGATGTTTGTTACTCTCCTATTTGAGTTCTTGCAATTCTTATTTTTCAGTCTGGATAGTGAGTTTATTTTATAGAGTTTACATCAAGAGTTTAAACTCATTAAACTATTCAAAATTTAAATATTGTGATGACATGTTGTTTAATAGAACTAACTATTTAAAAAACAATTTAATATATTATTATCGTCCATATTGATTAATAAATTAAATTAACGTTTTAAACTTTGTATCCTGTCAAAAAAATGGAAAAAGGAATACATGCAAACTACGTCTAAGTACCTTGAATTGCCAATGTTAGGACTTTTGTCTATTCTGTTGAATGAGAGAAGCAATCAAATCCAATATGTCTTCTCCTTTCTGTTTTTGGAATGTTTCCCTTTTCCTTCAAGGATTTTCTTCCTTTACACCATCCACTTTATTAATTTCATTATTTCTGCTTTCTTACTTTGAATGATTGTATACGGGTGAAACAGAGCCCGTTGGATACCTCAGTACTCGATAAAATAAACGGAGCAGAGACGTGATCGTAAGGAATCAGAATCAGGGCAAGAAGCCCCCCGAGTCGGGGTTCGGGCAAAACACTTGCCCTCGGAAGAATCGGGGGCACGTTCCGCAGGCCCAATTCAAATCCCAAAACTTCGGAGAGCATTATCAGATAATCGAGCATAACTAACAAAGGGTCGTGATATCCGTGCCCAGCCGGATGTCACAGCGTGAGTCTCGACCCGTATCGGCAGAAAATCAGTGATTAGCAAAACAGAAGATTTTTACCTTTTATGGAATTATACTTAGGGTAAAACTCCCCTACTATATAAAGGAGAGTCTAACTATTCATTAGATACTTTTTTAACACACATATCAAGGCAATATACTGTTATTTTTCTCTATTCTTATTTTTTGCTCATCAAGCTCTCTATTATTGTGAGTCCGGGATCGAGGCAGACATTTCATTAAGCTATTACTGAGTCTGGGATCAATTCCGCTATTGGTTTGGCAATCTATTACGTCTTTTATTTGTTTAATATAACACTATTAATCGTTTGTATTGAATTAATTCACATAACCTTAAAACCACTGATAAATTCAATTGTTATCCGTTTTAAGGGTAAATAGTTTAGCACCCACCGTGGGGCTAAGGATAATAGTGGCAATTTGATAAAAATTCCCATAACGCACTCTGCTTTACTCTTGTTCTTTAAGATCTTAATTTCAGGAAAATTTAGGAATGTCAAACTTTCAATCTGCTCACTTGAACGTTGATGCTGAGTCTGGCCACCACGGCGAGAACAACAATATAGTACCCAGCAATGAGGTTCACCCTGCTGACCCTAACTGAGCCCCGGTCGCGAACCCAATCGACGCCAACTCCCATGTGGCCATCGACGCTAACTTGCCCACCGACCTAGAATACAGCATTCGCGAGGGAGCCAGGTCGGTAGCCAGGGATACGCACGGCAGTGAAGGCGATGGGATCAATTTGCGAGTGATTTTCGAAATGTTACAAGCTCAACATGTGGCAATAGCCCAGTTACAGAACCAAAGCCACGCTCTCGGCAGAGTTGAGCCCGA